ACGCACACGCACACGCACACACACACCACACACACACACACACACACACACGCACGCACACGCACACGCATGCACACGCATGCACACGCACACGCACACGCACACGCACACGCACACGCACACGCACACGCACACGCACACGCACACGCACACACATACACACAAACACACACACACACACCCATACCCATAGAGGGGTCGGTGAGGGCTACGGGTGCGTGTTGTCGGATGGGGGTCCCCGCTCGAACGGGAGCGTTCCCCAGGGTCCGACAACCCGCACCCATACCCATAGCCAGTCCTCCTCCCACCGACCTCCCCATGGGTATGGGTGTGTGTTGCTCGTTCGTCAGGGATGTGCCTTAGAGGACGGGGCGGCCCGTTTTGGGATGAGCCAGTATTTTTTGTGAGGCAGTCCTCTCGCGCTTAGGGGGCCCTGGAAACGACAGGGCCATTTTCTGACCGGTTCCGTTCTGCCGTTTTGTTGCCGGTTCCGTTTTGCAGTGTTTGTTTCCCGGCTCCGTCGCGCCGTTTTTTGACGGGTTCCGGCTCCGGGTCCAATCCTGGAGCCGTTTTTTTGCCGTTTCCGGTCGCCGTTTTTTTGCCGCTTCCATTTTCAAGGGGCACTTTTTCGGAAACGGTGAACAAACGGCCCTGCCGTTTCCGGGGCCCACTAAGCTCGCGCGGGTTCGCTTCTCTGTTCCCCATGGCTCCATGGCTCCTGCTTCCCCTCTCGGCCCACGGTGCAGCCCTGCTGTGCTCGCGTCAGTGGTGGGTGGCCCGCCGCGGACAGTAGATCCCTTCCGTCCTCCCGCGAGCTCCCACAGCTGGAGCTCCGCTTCAGCGCCCCCGTGCGGCTGCTGCAGTAGCGGCGCGTCAGATGAGGCAGCGAGCCCGCCGGCAGGTGCCCGACGTGGGTCGCTGGTCCCCTGGCGGTACTTTGTGCTCGTCCTCTGGCATGGAATGACCGGGACCCGGGCCACATTCAGGAGGGAAAGAAACACAGACACAATTAATCGTCGATTCCCAAGAAAATATGGGAAAATATGGGAATTGGGGGGGAAGACAAAAACCCAGAAAATATAGGAAAATATTGGGAATCTGTTTACTTGTGTGTATTTATTTGTGTGCCCCAGGGCCCCTTCACACACCCCCACCCACCCACCCACCCCCAGGGCCACGGTGACGATCGTGAGGCCTTGGACGAACAACCCCGCGGGTCACGTTGGTGCTCGCGCGCGTACCATGGCGAGCGCAGCGCGTCCCCGCCCCGACGTGCCCCCTCCCCGTGCCGGAGGTGAGCATGCCCCCTGTGTCGAGTATCCGGTGAGGACGCACGGGGCGGCTTGTGAGGAGACGCTCACACGCAAACCAGAAGACACCGTCTTCGCTGAGCACCTCCTTTGACGAGCTCGTTGGGGTTTCGCCACCGGGGCGACACGGTCCCGCTCGAGCCTGTTACCGTTACTACCCGCGCTTCCCCCCTGGGTAACGGCCGTTGCCCGAATTGGCAATAATCATTTCCCGATGGCCCAGAGGGCCCACAGGAGCCTTCTTTGGGCGCGAGGGCTGACATTTTAAAACTTACAGGCCGACAGACGAGCATACAAGTGTGGGAGGTGCCTACCAGCATTTATCGTTTTTCAATCATGTTTCGTTGCGCAACGTTGCGCAGTCATGCCGTTGGATTTCTGCAGCTGTTGGAGAGCCCGCGTCACCGACAGAATTGGAGCCTGGAAAATGGCACAGGAAATTGGAGGCAGCATGGTAACGCCAAACATGGTTGCAAACATTTGGGACGCATGATCGTGTGGCCCCTGCCTGATTCCGCGCGTCCTGTCAGGGATGGCAAACTGCTTCGCCGGGCCACCGACAGGCGCGTCGTGTGTGCCCGGTGTTGCCAGCTTGCCGAAAATGTGCACGAATGTGCCAGCTTGGAAAGGCGCCTTCCACTGACGCTGAGGCAACCACCTGTCAGAGCGCGTGTTGGCAGATTGAGGACTCTGGCAGCAAGCAGGTTTGCGCGTGCGGCTCTGGAACGTGGTTCGCCAGAGCGAGTCAGGCGTCGGCGCCTCAGTTCACTTGCGGGCAGCCAGGACACTCCGGCCGCGACCCCATGGGCCCATGGATGCTGGGTGGTCTTGCGCGGATGCTCCTTGCGGCACGTACCCATGAGATCGCGTATCCATGGAATGTTGCCAGAGGATCCAGATCGTAAGGGCACGGGTATGTGTCGTTCATGATATAATACGTCGTTCCCGAAAGTAGACCTGCAAGGTGCGCTCGTCCTTGGTGGGCGCACTGCTCTGTTTTCTGTCTCCTGCTGCTCGCCCTTCACAGCGCTGTGCCATCTCTCGTGTTCTCTCCACTCCGTCCACTTCCCAAGGGGGGGGTCCCATCCTCGTCATTCCTGTCTTCCCGGGGGCCATCCTCCCCAAAAGAAGCGCCCCCTTGACATCTCTTGGAGCGGCGCGTTCTGGCCAGGGCGTCGAAGCGACCCAGCCGCGGCAGCGAGCCCCCCCCCCCCCCCCCCCCCCCGCAAGGGCCACCCAAAAGACCAAGAATGCCCACACCCCGCTTCCTTCTTTCTGTGGCTTCCAATGGGGTGCCCAGTTCGGCACCACCGTATCACGGCGGCCAGGATTGGGTCTTGACTTGCGCCGGCCCCGTTTTGGGTTTGCGCCTTGGGACCAGCCAGCGATCGAATCCGACTCTTGCCGGCCCGCGCCTCCTGATTCATGCATTCGTCCGACGCGATGTGTACTCCTTCGATCTCCCCGTGGCCCTCTTGCACACAACCTTCACGAGGGCTGAGAACGACCCTGGTCCGAGGATAGTCCGAGGATGGTGAAGGTTTTTTTTGGGGGGGGGAGGCCTGAGGGCACGAAGAGAGCAAGGGAAGCGGAGCAGGAGGAGTGCTGCTTCCCCCGAGGGGGGAACTAGAGAGAAGGAAGAGGAGTGGAGAGAGACCAGGAAGACGGAGCAGCGAGGGCGGCTCCATCTCAAGCCCTCTGAGGGCCGAGGGCGCCCCCCCCCGGTCTCGAGCTGGCCTCGGCGTCTGCCCTGCGCTCCCGGCAGGTCCACGAGCACGAGGGCGGGCGCGGCGACGCCACGGAGGAGCTCGGCGACCTCGTCGCCGCCCGGGGAGCCCGCAGGCCAGCTCCTCCGCCCCCCTCCTCCTCCTCCTCCGCTTCCTCCTCCTTCCCCTCCTTCCTCCTCCTCCTCCTCCTCCTCCTCCTCCCTCCTCCTCCTCCTCCTCCTCCTCCTCCTCCTCCTCCTCCTCCTCCTCCTCCTCCTCCTCCTCGTCCTCCTCATCCGCCCCCCGCCGCGCCACGCGTTGCGCGGCAAGGGCGCAAGAAGGGGGACCAGCTTAGCTGCAGTCGGACCGAGGCAGAAGATCGAGGCAGGTTCGGGGAGGGTACCCCAATCTTCTTCGTGTTTGTTGAATGTGATTGTACATCTTGTGGAGGGTGCCCGTGGAGGTTATGTTTTTATTTGGGGCCGACGGAGGATCTCATGCTCTTGAGGGGTGTTCTTCTGGCCTAGGTCGGACTGTACCGATACCCGCTACCATTGCCTCGTTTTCGCCTTGTTCGGCCTCCTGGGAGGCCCTCGCCGCCACGGCTGGATTCGCCTCGAGATTCCGGTCGGAGCGCACCTCTCGCTTGTGGTCTCGATCGTAGCAGCCCGGCGCACCATGCAGGAGGGCTCGACCCCGCCAGTTCTCTCGCGATTTCGGGAGGGGAAAGGGGGGCTTTCAGCATGATCAGCGAATCTGTGGCCCCCTCGGGGAGGCGGCTCTCGAAGGCTCGCTCGAGCTGCAGCGCCCGACCGTTGCTGCGGCACGGCCTGGAGGGCTCGCCTCGAGTCCGCGTTGCGCCTCAAGGGCCTCCTGAGCGGGCCTTCCTCACCGTGGCCGGTTCCGCCTCGGCTTCCTGGTCCGAGCGCGCCTCCTAGAACCCGGGCCTCTGTCAAAACCATTGCAGGTGGCAGCCAATTTTGACACACACACACACAGGCTGCCCATTCCCTTCTGCTTGCCCCTCCGACCTCCTTGCCCCCAGTTGCTTTCTCGTGCGCCTTCGACTGCACGCTTCACATGGCATTCTTGGGTGACCTCACGCTTGCTGCATGAAGCTGCGTTGTCGACGGTCATGTAGTGGCGCCCTGACAGCTGGGAATCGTGCGATTCGATTCGTAGCTCGTTGATCAAAACATTGTAATCAGGAAGCCTTGGACAGTTCGTGCTCACGAAGTATACAAAGCAGCGCAATGTAGCGCCGAGCTGATCAGGCCATTCTGGATGTTTGTCACACTCTGCCTCATCCTCTTTGTGGAAGAGTGCAGTAGGCACATCACATACGAGATCGACCTGCAAGCAGGGGCCCCACGGACATTCCTGATCCCCCGATGACCCCGGGGACCCGCAGCTCTGTGGCACCCCCAGGACCCTCAGAGATCGACGCAGCACGTGCCCCCCCCCAAGACTTCTCGTGAGCCGGCTTCCTCATCGTATTCGTGTGCTGCGCGGGGAGGCGCGAGAGGCCCTCGGCGGGAGGAGCGGCCGCAGCCTGCCGCGACCACTGCAGCCGCCCTTCTCTGCACCGGGCACCCTCCCGGCCCCCCCCCCCCCGGCCTCCCGCAGCGCCTACCGCCTGGGCAGCGTCTGCGTCGCCGCCGCGCCCGCGGGCACGGACGCCGAGGCGGAGGCCCCGGTGTGCGCACAGGCCTCCCGCAGAGGGACGAGCATGTGCAGCCGCAGATGTCCGCCGCCCTTGGCGAGGATCGAGATTCTGGGTTCGAGGGTCCCTTGCCTGTTCCGGGCTCCGGGGGGCCGTCCACGGGCCCCGCGGCCCAGGGCCGTCAAAAGCTGATCCGGGGCGGCAAACTGCACCAGATGGACCCCAGAGGGGGTCGGGGTACTGATTCTGAGGGGATCGGCTTTCGCCCTCTCTGTCTCCCTCCGCTCCTCCTCCAACCTGTCGCCTCCCCCCTCTCCTCTCCCTCTCCGGCTCCTCGGTTTCCTGTCTGTGCCCCGACTCGCGGCGGCCGATCCCGCGGCGAGGTCTGAGCTCGTGATTTTTCCACATTCGTGTTCTACGCACCTCCGGGTGTACGACCTCTTGCGACGCTATGCTTGACTCTGTTGCATCCCCTTGCCACCTCTCGTCAAAAGTTGGTCAGAGCATTCGGCAGCACAGGCGTGAGAGCACAAAGGAGTGGACCCTCCCAGGGCCTGCGCGAGGCCGAACCCAACTTGATTCTGGGGGGACGGGGGGAGCCCGCCATCCAGTCGAGCACGAACATGTTTCAATTTTTCCGTATACTTGCCGTGTTGATGGCAAGCCCGTAGATACTTGGAATTCGTACGGGGGGGGAGTTCGGTACGATCGATGTGGGCACGGACACGGTGGGGACGAAGACCGCCGAATAAGCAAACGCTCCACTGGCCCGCACGACGAGCCAAGGGCCTTGGACTCACTGTCCGACGATCTCCTCATCCGTGGCCCCGCAGGCGACGTCGGACCGCTTGGGGGCCTCGCTGCGCGTGGAGAGGAGCGGAGGGGGAGTTGTAGGAGGAGGTGGAGGAGGAGTTGTAGAAGGAGGTGGAGGAGGAGTTGGAGGAAGAGGAGGAGGAGGAGGAGGAGGAGGAGGAGGAGGAGGAGGTTGGAGGAGGAGGAGGAGGAGGAGGAGGAGGAGGAGGAGGCGAAGGTGGAGGAGGAGGTGAGAGCACAGCAACAAAAACATGTCTGCGAAACATTCTAACAATAGGAAGGTGAGAAGGGGCTCTGCCTGCCTCCCCCGCCTCGCATTGCCGCGCTGCCGGGCTCTTGCACCGGCATCCTCTTGCTCCAGATGCGCCATAGTCCTCGTCGGCTTGGTTCGACCAGCAGATCCCCGCAGGGCCTCGGGTCAGGCGGCGGTAATTAGTTGGGCGCTCGCTGACTGATGAGCGGCGCTCGTGGTCTCATCTTGACGTTTCTCCTCCTTCAAGCCCCACTGACAGGTCAAGATTATCAACGATGGCGCCGTCGAGTGGCCCGCTCAGATGCTCCTCGTTCGGCCGCGCGCACAACTGCATTATGTTGTAGTAGGTGGGGGTTTAGATTGAAGATGAGGCAAGCCGAGGAGTCACGATAGGCCAATCTTCAAATCAATGCGCAGACTTGTGGGGAGTTTCATGCAGTGCGGGGACGTCTGTCTGTTGAAGGATGCTCGGCTGAGGTTGCGCGAGCAGATACGATTATTGACAGACTCCCCGACTCCAGCGTACCTATACGACCACCCTTCGGGTGATAAGGGGGTTTGGGGGGGAGGAACCAACGTCTCACTCGATCGGTCTCACTATCGATCTCACTATCGGTCTCGCTCGATCGATCTCACTCGGTCGATCTCACAATCGATCTCACTCGATCTATTTCACTCGATCGTTCTCACAATCGATCTGACTATCGATCTTACAATCGATCTCACTATCGATCTCACTATCGATCTCACAATCGAATTCACATTCGGTTTCACTATCGATCTCACTATCGATCTCACAATCGATCTCACAATCAACGTCATCATCATTAACATCATCGTCATCAACGTCCTCCTCGTCATCATCATCATCATCATCATCATCGGGACACCATCATGATCATCACCCCATCAACATCATCATCACAATCATCATCATCTGGACATCATCGTCACCATCATCATCAACATCATCGTCAGGACACCATCATCATCATCAGCCACATCATCATCATCAACAGCATCATCATCATCATCGGGTCACCATCATCATCGTCACCATCATCATGACCATCATCATCATCGGGACACCATCCTCATCATCAATATCAGCATCATCATCACCATCATCGGGCCACCATCATCAAAATCACCATCATCACCTCATCATTATCATCATTATCATCCTCATCATCAACAACATCATTATCATCATCATCATCATCATCATCATCATCGGGACACCATCATCGTCATCATCATCAACACCATCATCATCGGGACACCATCATCATCACCATGATCGTCAACAGCATCATCATCATCATCCTCATCATCATCATCGGGACACCATCATCATCATAATCATCTCATCATCATCTCATCATCATCAACACCATCATCAACACCATCAGGATCATCAACATCATCATCAGCATCGGGACACCCTCATCATCAACAACATCATCATCATCATCATCATCATCATCGACGTCATCATCATCGGGGCACCATCATCATCACAAGCATCACCATCATCATCGTCATCATCATCAACATCGTCAACATCATCATCATGATCGGGACACCATCATCATCACCATCACCATGATCACCATCAACATCATCGACATCATCATCATCATCATCATCATCATCATCATCATCATCATCATCATCATCATCATCATCATCATCATCATCATCGGGACACCGACGGGACACCGGCGGGACACCGGCGGGACACCGCGCGCCACCGGCACCCGGACATGTAACAGTTCGTCCGGCCGCGCCTCAGCCGGAGGCGGGACACCGGCGGGACACCGCGGGCCACCGGCCCCGGAGAGGAAACATTTGGTCCGGCCGCGCCTCAGCCGGAAGAGACTTTCTTCTCGCCCGCCCACGCAGCTTCGCCACGCCCGCACGCACGGCACGCACGAACACGAAACCGAGACCGAGTTCCCAGTAGGGGGGCTCTCCGTTCCACTTCGATCTCACCCCGTCACCTCCGACACAGAGATATGTAGCCATCATCAGCCTCGGTTACTTGTACTATTGAGTCATATGGACTCGCATCGGGCTCTTACAGGGTGTGTGTTTGCGTACAGTTTTGAGCAGCGCCGAATGTCCACGGGGGCGATGGTGTTTTGGTTATTCGACCAGGTGAAGATTTTTGCCCACAAGCCAAGATTCGAACGAGTCGTCGGCGCCTTGGCGATAGCAGCGTCTTTCATTCGCGGTGAGAATTTGCGCAGTTGTTCGATCGACAGGCGCACACGACATCAGAACGTGCCGATGGGCTCCGAAGTAGGGTGGGGGAGAGCAGTGGAGGCACTGAGTCGGGGCAAGCGCGGGGCAGCTCTGCGATGTTGCGGCCGACGCCGCAGCCCGACTTCTTCGTGGTGCGAACCGATTGTGGTCGAGCGAAGGGAAAGAACCACACTTTGACGGCGCATTGCCAGACATATTGAACATGCTCGGCGACAGCATGACGGCATGCAGGACAGTACATGGTTGCACAGTGATTTGGGGAGCCGTCGGTGAAACAATCGTTTCCGACGAGCACTCTGGCGCCATCTGCTATGTACTGGGTTTGGACAGCAGCAGCTTGACAGCTCAAACATGATCTTTGTTGGATATGGCAGGAGCAGCTTCCACACCGAAGCAACATCACAGTCTCCAGTCGGGGTTCAATGGACGGGGGTCAACGCAAACGGGGGTCAGTCAGAGCGCCGGATCTTGCAGGATCATGCAGGGCCAGTGGTGCATCGACCCAGGCTTGGGCGCAGGATCCTGCAGGATCCTGCATGATCTTGCAGGATCCCGCGAAGCCTGACTGACCCGGGTTTGGATTGACCCGGGTCAGCACAGTGGAAACCTATGCCAAGAAACACCCTGCTGGTCTCCAGGGTGCCATGGGTTTCTTGGCTTTCGATGGTGTTTTGCTATGGCGAGCGTGACGTTCCCACACCATACTGTTCCCCGATCCAATGCCGGTCCTGCAATGCTCTAGAACCAGATTTTGAAGACCACGTGTCAAGCAGTGGCGAAGCGTCTTGGCTCGCCGATAGGCCACCAAACAATGTTCTAAGAACCTTTTGTGGTTTGCAGAAAAGGTTCTTAGAACATTTCTGGCTGAGACTGTCGTGTTTTATTACTAGGGTTTATGTGCTAAGAACATTGATGTTGTTCTTAGAACATTTTGGGGTTCTGAGAACATTTCGTCGTAGGCCTATATGAATGCCGGTACGGTCGGTCCAAACGTGTGCCCAATCTTCGGAGGCCTGGAGGTTGGCACCAACACCAAGATCGGCAGTGTGCCTCCCTCGAGGGGAGCTGATCCCAACCTCGGCGACGGTGTTAAAATTTGGGCTTCCCAGGAGGCCGACAGATAACCACTGGCGCCAAAACCTGGGATCATCCTGCCCCGGTGAAGGCGTGCCCCCGTTTTGGTTTCGGTGTCCAGTTACTTCCAAGCCTCCGAGACCCTTGTCACTTACGTCGCAGGCCTGGAGGGTTGACACCAACACCAATATCGGCGGTGTGCCTCCACCGCGGGAAGAAGAATCCCGACCTCGGTGATGGTGGCAATATTTTGGCTTCCAGGTGACCGACATCTTACCACCAACACCGAAGTCTAGGATCATCTTCCCCCTGTGGAGGCCCTCCCCCCCCCCCTGTGTTGGTGTTGGTGCCCACTTCCGGGCCTCCAATTACGGTCCAGGGTTTTAAGGCGCGTGTGCGCGGAGCGACTGCAAGGGTCGCACTCCGAGCACGGTCCGCCCTGCGTCCCCGCCTCTTGCCCGACATCTCTCAGGCCTCGGGGCCGCAGCCCCGACCGGGGAGACGTAAGGCTCGGGGTCGCAGGAGCTCTCGGGTGAAGTCGGGTCTGTCCCCCTGCGGGGGGAATCTTCAAACATCAGGAAGATAGTCTGGGGACGATTTCTTTTATCATGTTTGGCCACGTCCGGTGTATCGTCTATACCATTCTTACTTTGTCGTCCCAAATCCGCCTGTTTGGACACGCCCGACCCAAAGCTTGGGCTTGCCGCCGCTTTTTGCAGGGCCTGTCCTGGATTCCGACGGTCCAGTGTTCGTGGGATCTTTGCACCGGGAGCTCGCGTCAATTCTCAGACTGCATGGGTCTCGTCATGTTCCTGACGTCTCCATCCGGCCAGCCCGAGCCCCGCGAACCCGAATCCTACGTTTTCCCGATCTGAGGAAGCTTCTGGCGAGAAAAAGAGGAGGACTTCCCCTCCTCCTGCCCTCGTAGCTACCAGCCCCTATCAACCTAAAGCGCATGTGACCGAGAAAAGGGGCTCGAGAACGTGCCCGAAGTTGGAACGAACACGCAGTGCGACCGAACATTCAATTTCGCTTAGGTCTCGAACAGAGAATTTCGGTCACACCCTCGCACGTTCGGAGCAAGTCAGGCGCCGTCTTCGGTCACACTCGGGCAGAGTTTCGGGCATCTCGGTCATGACCGCCCTCTGTTAGAGACGACGCTGCGCGACTGCCCCGATCGATCGCGACCGATCGATCACGATCGATCGGTCGCGACCGAATCGGTCGCGACCGAGAAGATCGCCACCGATTCTGGAATCGGTTGGTCGCTAGGAATCGCTAGGACTTCTTCGGACGGGGCCAGGACGAGGACGAATCCGTTCCAGGGCGTTCCAGAACGCTGTCAGGGCGTGGAAGCCGCGGCGCCCGAGACATCCTCTCTCAGGAGGGAAAAAACACACAGACACAAGTAATCGTCGATTCCATAGAAAATATGGGAAAATATGGGAAGTGGGGGGTACGACGGAGACCCAGAAAACATGGAAACATAGGGGGGAGTCCTTCTGTTTGTGTGTACTTGTCTGTGTGTCCTAGGGCCCCCTCACTCTCGAGCTGCTGGATCTCAGACATCCTCGATTCACCCTCGCCCGATTTTATCCTCGGCCTGGCCTCGTCTTACATTTGGGCCCTCCCGCTCGCCGCGTGCGGCGCGGCATCGGCGGCCTCGCGCGCTGGGGGCGTGGCTGTCGCCCCGTGCGCCACCCCTGGAGGCGGCCGCCCGGCACGGCGGCGAGATGCGAGCCCTTCTGGGGTGACTGGGGGGATCCTCCTCCTCCTGATTTTTCTCCTCCTCCGCCTCCAACCCCTCGATCCCCCTCCTCCTCCTCCTCCTCCTCCTCCCCCTCCTCCGCCTCCTCCTCCCCCTCCTCCTGCTCCTCCCCCTCCTCCTCCTACTCCTCCTCCTCCTCCCTTTCCTCCTCCTCCTCCCTTTCCTTTCCTTTCCTCCTCCTCCTCCCTTTCCTCCTCCTCCTCCT